ACCATACGAAAGCCAGTAAGAGCAATGCTCTAAGAAACTGCAAGCCTCTGGGTCAGCTTCTCAATTTGAGACACCTGCAAAAGAGCATTATTTCACTTGAAAGTGCACTGCTGAAAGGTGGTATCAAATGAGCTGATTCAATCAGTGAGCAAAATGGCATGTATGAATGGTATCCTCACAAGAGACAAAGACCAAGAAATTCATCACCAAGCAAATGCTACTACCCGTGTCTACTGAGTGTGACAATCATGTCCTACTGCAGAAATGAGACCCATACTGGTGTGTCGCCCAGAAGTGCCCTGGATATACATGTTAGCAGTAAGAATGGAATCATCATGTCCCTCCTTTTCCTCCTCTGTAGACCACAGGGGACTACATGCAATTCTGAGGCCAGAGAGGGTACCCCCAATTCCATTCTCCAAAACAAAGCAATTATCCTTTTGTAAATATTTCTTTTCCTGTTAATTAATAGGTGTTTGCTGGGGATACTGTGTTGAAGACTATGGGTGAGGAGTTGTATAACAGAACATGAGCACCTTACCAGGGGCTACTGAAGATGATGTCTCCTTCCCCTCAATCATTAACATGTATAACACTGCAGGGAAGGTTGAAATCTAATCTAATCTGTTCTGTGATGGGGTAGGTATTGATGGGCCCAATTTTACTCAGATATTGTGAAGGTATCACAAATGCTATGAATTCAAGAGTGCAATAATCAACTCATGCTCAGAAGTCTCCACCTTGTTGTGGAATATTTGTTTAACTATGCAAAGATGTGATGCATTTGTTTATGTTGCAGAATATTTATTTAACTATAAAGGTGTGCTGTTGTCTTACCTTGCCTGCCTAAGACACCTGATTGGTCTAATAAAAAACTGAATTGCCAATTGTGAGGTAGGAGGTATAGGTGGGACTTCTGTACATGGAAAGTAAGTAAGAGGATGAATTTAGGCTTGGGGTACAAGGAAAAGAGACACTAGGGAGATGCCAGGAGCCATCCAGCCAAACAGGAAAGAAACAGGACAGAAAGAAAGAAAGAAAGTTAGAAAGAAAGGAAGGTAAAAAAGCCTCAAGTAAAAATACAGATAAATAAAAACAGGTTAAATTAAGTTATAAGAGCTGTTGGAACAAGCCTAAGCTAATCCAAGCTTTTATAATTAATAATAAGTCTCTATGTCTTTATTTGGGAGCTGGTTGGCGGCCCAGAGAAAATTCCAACTACAGCACCCCACATCCCTCCCCTTTTCCTATGGTTCTTATTCTTTCCACCATTTCTTTTATGATATTCCCTTAGTTTTTGAAAGGGTGATACAGATGTCCTATCAACAACTGGGCATTCAATAGTCATGTAACCTCAGGACTTTGATCATGTAAGAGCTTCTGCAGTCACTGATGACCACTACAAAAAGGGAGTTTCTCTGACTAAAGTGACAGTAGCAGTAGTCTATAAACATAAACATAGTTATTTAGAAGGCAGTTTGACAGTTATATCATGTCCATTTAGCAAGACAACAGCAGTTTCTTCTCAGTTAGGGTCCATGACCTCTTCAGTTATGGGCTTTTGACTGGGTTTATAGGACCAGACATGAATTCCCTCTAGTGGAACAAGGATCGACTCTAATCCAGAAGTGTTTGGTGACTCCCACCTCCCAACAGATTTGCCACTATTGCACCAATGAGCTCATCTTGACTGGCCAATCAGTGTTATTACCTGTGAGGTCCATAGGTAAGTAAGACTATTGATGACCATTCTTCCCCAGTGACCTGCATAACAGCTTCTGGCACTACAAGGGTACTCTAGTTTTCTTTCTATTGCTGTAATAAACACAAAAACCAAAAGTAACTTGAGAAGGAAAGGGTTTATCTCATTTTACAACTCCAGGATCATAATCCACCACTGAGGGAAGCCAGGGCAAGAACTTAAGATGAACCTGGAGGTGAGAATTGAAACAGAGATCATAGAGGAGCACTGCTTACTGTCTTGCTACTCATAGCCATGCTCAGTTTACTTTTTATATAACCCAGGACAACCACCAGTAGCACTACCTACACTGGGCTGGTCCCTCTTGTATCAATCATTAGAAAAAAAACATGCTCCACAGACTGAATGATCTACAGGCCAATCTGATGGAGGAATTTTCTCAATTGAGGTTCCCTCTTCCCAGATGACTATCTGTCAAGTTGAAAAAAGAAAAAAACAAAACAAAAAGCCTAACTGGCACAGAAGGCTAGCTAGCAAAGTGGAAGCTTCCATTCAGTTTTCATCTGGATTTCTCTGTCTTGCAACCAACTTGTGTGGAATCTTCTGGTGAGCAACCAATGGCAGTGGAAATTGCTTGCATTCTATGGAGGTGTTCCAGTATCTTCTTGACCAACAATACTTAGAGGAATAGCCTACCTCTAACATTGGGATCTTCATTGAAAAATCCCCACAGCTTCTGAGAAAAAGAAAATTCACCCACCCACATGACATACTTCTTGAAACAGTTTTGTAATTTATTTTTATTAGATTATCAAGTATCAGATTCCCTTATGACTTTAACATGCATTGTTAGTTTTAATGGACCTCTCCCCTTCCCTCTGACCTCCTGCCCCACTTAAACTAAGCTACATCAGTACATGTATTTTTCACTTCCATCCATTTTCCTAAAAAAAGACTTCATGTTTCTTTACAGCTGAATAAAATTCCATCACGCATAAGTACCACATTTTCATTATCCACTCATCAGTTAATGGACTTCAAGGCTGATTCCATTCCTTTGCTATTGTGAACAGAGCAGCAGTAAACATGGATGTGCAAGTAGCTCCCTGGTAGGGTAGAAGAATTCTCAGCTCGTGGTATAACAAGATCATATGAAACTTGTATGTTTTGGCTTTTGAGAAACCCACACTGCTAACTGTAGTAGCTGTCCAAGTCCATAGTTCCACCAGCAGTGAATAAGGCTTCCCCTTTCTGCACAGCATTTGTCACTGTCTGTTTTTCCCATGACAGCCTTTTATTCTTACTGGGGTGAGATGACACCTCAAAGTTGTTTTAATTCACATTTCCTAGATGGCTAAAGATGTCGAATATTTTTAAATTGTTTATTTGTCACTTATGCTTCTTCTTTGGGAAATATTTCTGCTCAGTTCTTTAGTCTATTTTTAACACTGGATTGTTGTTTCCCTGTTGATAGGATTTGGGGTGGGGAGGGAGCTCTCTGTGTACTCTAAAAATGAATCTTTGGTCAGAGATATAGCTGTCAAAGATTTCTCCTGCTCTATAGGCTATCTCTTCACATGGCTAACCATTTCCTTTTCTGTAAGGATCTTTTTAATGACATGAATTGCAATTGCTGGTGGTTAGCCTTATCGTCCAGGTGACTACAGTAATTATTCAGAAAGGCCTTACCTAGAAGCATCGTCCCTACTTTTTTCCTGTAGCACAGGGTTTCAAGGCTGACATCAGAGCTTTGATCCACTTGGAGATGAGTGTCTGTTGTTGCTGCTGCTGCTGTTTGTTTTGATTTGTTTTTTTGAGACAGGATCTCTCTATGTAGTCCTATCTGTCCTGGAACTCACTATGTAGATTAGGCTGACCTTGAACTCACAGAGATCCTCCTACTTCTGCCTTTCGAGTGCTGGGATTGAAGGAATGTACCACCACAACCAGCCAGGATGGAGTTTTGTGCAGAATGAAAGATAAGGACCTAGTTTCATTCTATATATAGCTATCCAGTCTGGCCAGCATCACTTGTGGCAGATACTATCTTTACCTAATGTGTACTTCAGGCATCTTTTTGTAAAATATCAAGTGGTTGTAGCTGTGTGAGCTTGTACCTAGGTCCTCTACTCCACTGATCTCTATGCACATTGTAGTGCCAATGACACACTGTTTTTACTACTGTGTCTCTGTAGTGTGACTGGGAATCTGGTATTATGATACTTCCAACATCACTCAGTTGTTCAGGCTTGCTTTAGCTATCTGCGATCTTGGTGCCTTCATTTGAATTTTAAGAGTTTTCTTATATTTCTAGGAAGAATGGTGTTGGAAATTTGATGGGCAATGCTCTAAATCTACAGATTGCTTTTGGTAAGACAACTATCTTCCCAGTAGTAATTCTCCAAATACACTATATGAGAGATCTTTCCATCTTCTAGTATCTTCTTAAAAGTTTTCAAGGTTTTTTTTTGTATATGTACTTTACTTCCTTGGTTAGGTTTATTCCAAAATATTGTTAAAGCTATTATAAATGGAATTGTTTTCCTCATTTATTTCTTAGTATGTCTGTCATTGCTACATAGAGAGGCTACTGATCTTTTGGCATATTAATTTTGTATTGTGTCATTTTGTTGAAAGTATTTATCAGCCCTAAGAATTTTCCAGTAGAGTCTTTGGGATCTCTAATGTATAAATCATATAATTCTTTTAATTTACCTCTCTTATCTCTTGCTTGATCTAAGACTTCAAGCATTGTATTAAATAGGGATGGAGAGAATGGACACACTTGTCTTATTCTTTATCTTAAGCAAAATGCTTTGACTTTTCCCCTCTACTTAGTATGATATTGTCTGTAGGTTAGTCATATATAGGCTTTATGTTGAGCTATGTTCCCCCCCCATTGCTAGTCTCTTCAGTGTTTTTAATCATAAAGGGAAGTTGTATTTTGCCACAGGTGTTTTCCACATCTAGATCACATGGTTCCTGTCCTTGAGTCCATCTATATACATATTACATTTATTGATTTTCACACAATGAGCCATTTCTGTATCTCTGGAATGAAGTTGTTCTGATCATGATGAATGCTCTCTTTGATGTGTTCTTGAATTTGGTTTGCAATCATTCTATTGAAAAAAAATGCCCCTGTCATTATTAAGGAGATGAACCTGTAATTTCATTTTTTTCATTGTGTCCTTATCTGATTTGAGTATCAGGGTAATGTCAACTTTGTAAAATGAGTTTCTAAGTGTGGCTTCCTTTATTGTTTTATTGAATAATTTGGTAAATACTGGTGTTGGTTTTCCTTCAAAAGCCTGGTAGGATTCTGCAGTAAATCCATCTAAGCTTGGATTTCTCACTTAACAGATCTGTAATGACTGTTTCAATCTTGCTGCTTGTTATCTGTTTATTTTTCTCATCTTGATTTAACTTTCATAGGTCCTTTGTGTCTAGAAAGTCATCTTTCATTAATATTTTGAAATTTAGTAGAATACAGGTTTTAGATGTATAGCTTGATAATTTGCAAATTTCACTGCTATCTATTTTAATTTCTTCTTTTCATCTCTAATTTTGAAATGTGTTTCTTCTCTTTCTTTAAATTCACTAGGGAGGGTTTGTTGATATTGTTTATCTTTTCAAACAGCCAAGTCTTCACTTCCTACATTTAAATCTTTTTTGTTGTCTTCATTTATAGTCTGTCCTCCCATGATCCTGAGTATTTGTCTGACTTGCTTTATTTTTTCATTTCTAACATCAGCTCAGATAGTTTCAGTATTTCTCACTTTGTTGAAGTTCATTTTTATATCCTACTTGACTGCCTCATCTCCTTAGTTTTCCTGTCTGTGCTGTGGAATTCTAAGGCATGTATTGTCATCTCCTTTCATTTCTTTGAACAAACTTATTATTCCTTTTATATTTCCTCTAAGTTACTCTTATTAGGAGTCATTACTGAAGGGTTGGTAGATTTGGAAAGGTCTTTTTCTTTTTAGGTGCTTCATGTATTTTTGTGCAGGATTTGTATACAGAGAGTTAGATTGTTGGTTGAATTTTATATTAGTTTGGGTCACTTTTCTTCTTTCATTTGTGTTTGAAATATTTAAGAGGAACTAGGTGATAATAATACTGAGGGGTCATTTTTCTGTTAGGTTGGTGTTCAGGGCACCTGGTTCTCCCCAGTTCTCTGCAAGTTGAATAGCAGTTACAGTAACAGTGCCTATCCAGAATAAACCTGTATGAAAATAGGGTAAAAACAAGCTATGAAATAATCTCTTCTGATGCACTAATCAGTCTACAATGTAAAGGGACATTAATAATACTCGATATACAAAAATGTTAGTTATTTTAAATATGCTTAGGAAGAAAAAGAAAGAAGACACAATAGAATTAACTTCTATTGAGATGCTGGAAAACAAAGAAAGAGAATATAAATAGAAGGGGGACTTTTAGGGCAAAAGGGTCTGATGAGGGGATTTTGATGAAAGGTAGAAAGAAGAGAGAGAGGGTAAAGACAGATAACTTAGAACATGCCCATCTCTCCGGAGGCTGGAGCTCAAGTACTCTGCAAACCAGGACAGACTTTGTTCTTTGGAAGATGGGAACATGAAAGTAAGGACATGGAAAAACTCTATGTAGGGCAAGAACACTAGAGAGCTGAAGTGGAGTGGGCCAATCAAAGATGGGATAGACATAGACGAGGGAGAGCCGGGTGGAGATGAGCTATGCAAACTGACTGGCCTGATTGTAGGTCTCATCTAGACTCTCCCACAAGCCTTTCCTGCTTCCTGGAATGCAGTCTGGCGGCTGGGAGTTTCTCTGCCAAAGTGTGTTATTTTTTCTTCAGGATGCTAATTGAGCATGGCCCTGAAGGGTGCTGAAACAGATTGTGGGTGATACCAAAGCCCTTCCCACCCATTTCCTCTAACAAATATGTTCCTTGCTCTTGCTCACCAGGTAAAATTGCACCCAGCTCCTCATGGAAGCCTTTGCCCACTCCCAGAGTGACTCACCATCTTCCTGCAGCAATACCAACCACGTGTGTCATTATGTGATATGTTACTACCTCCCAAACATGATTGTGAGCTCCCTGAGTCTGGGGTCTCATTCTTATGTGTGTGTGCTGATTTGGGGGGAGGGTAGGGGAGTGTGTTACTGTTCTCTGGACCTGACTCACAGAGCCTTTCCTCTGCTTCTTCATTCTGGAATCATCAAGCACATTTCTGGTCACACACTGCTGCCGCTGCTTCAGTGAAACTAAAAGGGGAACTGAGAAGTCCTGGCCAGGCTCCTGACCCACCACTTCCACACAGAACACACCTCACCAACCACCTGCCTGACCCACTTCCGTGATCTGATTCACCATTTTGGAGTCTGCCTTCAGCCCTGCCTTCAGGCTCACCAGCTGTGGAATGGGGGAGGGAGGGGGCGGTTGCCACCATAGAGCAGGTGCTGAGAGGGAACAACACAGCCAGAATGAGAGCCAGCCCTGGTCATCGAGAAGCAAGAGGCAAATGTGTTCATGTGTCAGGAGCCCGGAAGTGTCCAAGAACTGTTTGGCCCTTCTGAGCCCCAGGGATTCTACAGAGGACTCTCCACGGAAGAGACCTAGCCCAGGTGGATATTCTGAACTTCTGTCTTTGGTGCAAGCCACAAGGGATGACTGTACCCAAAAGCCTTGATCTTGTAGGCAGGGGAGAGAAAACAATCACATACCAATGTCTAGGCATTGTGGCCACAACCAGGCCAAGCCCACAGAAACAGAAGCCATCTTCCACAGTGCTCAGTCAGGCAAGCTTAGAGGACAGGAATTCAATTTCAAGCTTTCCCTATGTCTAGGTGGCAAACAGAGCAGCATAAATCTAGAAAAATGAGTGGCCTGTGGTCTTTTGTGGATCACATACAGCCCCAAGTCTACTGGATTGGAAAATAAATGTGCACTTCAGCAGAAAGGGGACCTATCACCTTTGATGTTTTACAGCACAGGGAAGATGTCTTTTTGTTAATCTGTTCCCATCCATCTCACATCATCATTTTGTTTTCCTCCTCCTCTTCCTCCTTCATTTTTCTTTGTATAGCCAGGGCTGTTCTGAAACTCACTCTGTTGACCAGACTGGCCTTGAACTCAGAGATGCCTGCCTCTGCCTCATGAGTGCTGGGTTTAAAGCCATGTGCCACCATTCCCTGCTCAAGTGGTACCATTTTCAGTTGTCACAGAACATCCTTGTTCCCAGGCCAAGTGCCTACTCGTGATGATGAGATACCTCTCACCTCTTTCCTCTCTGTTGCAGGACAGGGGAAGGAAACATGTTTGGAGAAGCCAGGACAGTGAGAAGCCAGGGGAAAGGGGAGAAATTAATAAGTGTTTCTGTCTGTCTGGGGTATGGTGACAACCAGGAAGCCCTGAGGTTTACCGAACTTCACAAGAATGCTGGAGCCCAGGCCTGACCAGATCTGCCTGTTTCATTTTAAAAAGGGGGCCATTGACCTTGGCTGACTGACAATCACTCACCACACACACTATGGCAGCAGACTGGAAGAGAGTGAACAGAAAATGGGGCAGGCTATAAGAAAGACCTCAAAGCCCACCCCTGGTGATCCACTTCACCAGTAACGCTGCAACTCCCACTCTGGCCAGAGCGGGGAATTGTGAATGAATCTTGAAAGAACAGCTTTTGGCTGGAATTTAGAAATGCAGTGACAAGAACCTGGGAAATGAGGCGTGTGGTGGAAGCAGGTACAGAGGGGCTATGGGGGACAGCGTGTTACTGTAGGTGACTGCAGCTGACATACTGACAGTGCACATGAGATGTGCTGTTAAGGACTCGCAGGAATAAGCAGGAGGACACTGAGGAGGATGTTCTTTTGAAATATATATATACATAATCTTGAGAATTTCGTTCATGCATATAACCATCCCCTCCACCCCCTAACTCTACCAGATCCAGCCCTTCACCCCATCCCAATTTTATGATCTTCTTTTACCTAGCCCACTGATTCCAATATGTACTGCCAATATAGTCATGGATTTGGGGCTATTTACCAGAGCCTAGTGGATCTACCAACATCTTCAGTCTATGTGAAACTGACTCTCCTTGCCCTAAAAGCCATCAACTGACAATAGCACTTCAGCTAGGGTGGGGAGGGACTCATGAGAACGAGAGTTCCATCAGCCAGTTTGAGAGAGGTGCTCTGGCAATTGCAATTTGACTTAAAATGTTTGATCTGTGCTGCACACTCAGGCCCATGAAGCCATAGACTACCTAGATCATGCCACTATTATAAAGGCAGGAAACATACCAGGAGAAATTAAGCATTTTTTAAAAACATGCACTGCTGTGATTTGGATGAGCCTCATTCCTCCCAAGGACTCATGCAGTCTCCAGTGTGGCAATGTGACAGGTGGTGTCCTAGTGGAAGATCGCTGCCTCATTATGGTTGCTGTCCTTGAAAGAGATTAATATCCTTCTCCCCTTCTCATAGCACCCCGGGAGTTTGCGTTACAACACTGTTATTACAAAACGCTGTCCCCTAAATCCTTCTGGCTCTCGCTCTGTCTTATAAGTACTGTCTCTTTCTTGCATGTTTCTCCGTGATGCCACCACCATGTTGCAGCAAAGCAGGACCTCACCAGAGTCAACCACAGCCACACTGCTTGGACTCTGTAGTGGTTTGGATGTGAAAAGTCACCCATTCATGTGCTTAAACAATTGGTCCCCAGTGTTGTTTGAGGTGGTGATGGAACCTTTGAGAGATAGCCTTGCTGGAGGTGTGGGCCACTAGGGGCAGGCTTTGAGGGCTCACTTCCTGTTCACTCGCTTCCAGACTGCCGATGCAGTATGATAAGTGAACCTCATGTTCCTGCCACTGGGATGGACTGTATCCCCTCTGTAACTGTGAGTCCAAATAAAAACCCTTGCTGCCTTATGCTGCTTTTTTCAAGATGTCCTTATCACAACAGCAAAAATGAAATTGATGCAGACTCTGAATCTCTGAGTTAAATGCATGTCTTTTTCTCATAAAGAGCCCACACAACAGGAAATGGACCAAAACATACCTGCCCACTTGGTGAGCAGCTGAGACTAGAAATGAACTGCCCCTAATCCCCCACAAGCACAGAGCACTCAGAGGGCCAGACTCCTTCATTCTTCTCACAGGTCCACTACCTTCTGTAACATAAAGGACAATTGCTGGTATGTTTGCTTCTCATGCTGGCTTAAACGCCTTTTAGTAAAAATCATGCGTCTACCCTGTAACTTTATTAAAACAGAATCGCTAAGATCTGGTTTTAAAAAAAAACACCTGACTGCTCTTTCTGAGGAGCTGGGATTGCTTCCTACCATCCACGTGGTAGCTCACCATCATCCGTAACTCAGTTCAGAGTATTCAATGACTTTGTCTGACCTCTTCAGAGTTCAGAGTCAACTTCAGTTACATACTAAGTTCAAGGCCAGCCTAGATTACATGGATGCTTCCTCAAAAAGAAAAGAAAGAAAATCAAACCCAGAAAGTCATGCATTGGGATTCATTTTGATGAAGTGTAGACAGGCCAATTTATAGAGATAGAAAGTAAGCTAATGCTTGTCGGTGGTGGAGGAAGGCAAGTATGGAGAGCTATTGCTAATGGGTTTGGAGTTTCCTTTGGAAGCTGATGAAAACATTCTGCAAGTAGAAGAGATATTTGGATAGTTTGTATTTGTATGAAAATTCACTAAACTGTACACTTGAAAAGTGTTAATTCCATGTTATGTTAATTATGTCTCAATTAGAATGCTCAGAGTCAGTTCAAAAAAGAAAAGATAATTTCAAAAGGTGCATTGTTCGGCCAGATAGTGCAATCATCATCTCATGACCCATGATCTCTCTGACTCTTCCAGGAAAAAAAAATGACATGTGTCTCACAAAGAATTGGAGAGAACACTTCTACTGTCCTATTTATTAGTCAAAATGCTCCAGAAAGACAGAATCATTTATTTAGATAAATGAGAGGATGGATAGATGGATGGATGGATAGATAGATAGATAGATAGATAGATAGATAGATAGATAGATAAATAGACAGTCAATAGGTAAGTGCATAGATGATTGTTAAATGATAGGGAGATAATAAATGATTGATATATAGACAAAGATAGATTCATAGATAGATCAAGAAAACTTCTTAGGGGAGTTAGCTTATATAACTGTAGATGATCCATCTGAAAGCTTTTGAATAAGGGGAGTTGGTAGAATGGTTCAACCCATGTTGAAATACCTAAGATCTGGGGGCTAACAGTACAAGTCCAAGATCTGAAGGCCAGAAGGTCTCAAACACTGATGCCCAAGGGCAAAAGAAAGATGTGGCATGAGAGACAAGAGGGAAAGGAAAGAGAAAGAGAGTAAGAGGGATGGGGAGAAGATGGAGCAGGGCAAAGGGAGTGAGGGAGAGATGTCACTTTTTCTCTACTACTTCATTCTTTCCAGCTCTTGCATAGATTAGATGGAGTCCACCACATTGGATAAAGGTGGCTCTTCCTAGCCTGGTTAAAAAGGCAATTTTTCTTTTCTGGAAAAACATTCATAGGCATACCCAGAAATAATACTTCCAAGCACTCACATATCCCTTGGTTTTTCAAGTGACACCTGAAACTAAGCATCACATCTGTCATGCTCAGTTGTGCCCCTTCACCTAGTAAGCCTCCAAATATCTTACCTTCTCTTTCCAGGAGCCTGTGACTCCATTGCTCTTACAGTCTGTGCTAGGTGGGTTTTTTGTTTTCAACTTGACATGAACCTAGACATATCTAGGAAAATAAAAATTCAATTGAAGGATTGCCTCCATCAGATTGGTCTATAGACAAGTGTCTGGGGGAGGGAGTTTCTTATCTAACGATTGATGTTCAAGGATCCATCTCACTGTGGACAGTGCTACCCCTGGGCAAATAATCCCAGGTACTATAAGAAAGCAGGCTGAGCAACCCAGTAAGCAGCATTCTTTCAGGGCTTCTGCTTCTGTTCCTATTTTCAGGTTCCTGCCTCGAATTCCTGCCTTGGCTTCCTTCAGTGTTATATGGCCTGGATATGTAAGCCAAATAACCCTTTCCTCCCCAAGTAGGCTTTGCTAAGTGCATTTATCATAACAATAGAAACCTAATTAGGACACATTCTAAGAACCAGACTGTATCCAAGGAATGCAAAATGGGCTGTTATTTATCATCAGACCCAGAATCAGAAGAGCATAAAGAATTCAGACTGCACAAGGACCAACCTAAAGCTTGCAAATATCTGTACTGCCATACTTTTTACAATCCAGAAAACCTGAAAACAACCTAAGAAAAATTATGGAAAATCCTTACCGTGAAACAGTAGAGAACTCCTGAAAACCATAGCTCTAGAGAACTTTTGATGATATGTTTATGAGGAGTCTAAGCAAAATGCACAACACAATCTTCCAAATTATATATGTATTATGTTCTCAATGATGATAAAATCACATATGCCTAAACAAATGTGGGGAGAAAGATATCAAGATGTTAGTAACAATGATCTTCAGTGGGTAGTTATTTTCATTCAACAGGTTTTAAGACTTTTTCCTTAATAGATAAGTGTCTTAGTCCATTTTCTACTGTTGCAACTGACTGCCTGAATACTGAGTACAACTGAAAACTGAATCCAAGTGAATGTTATGAAGAACAGAAGTATGTTTAGCTCACACTCATGGATGCTGGGAAAACTAAAAGCTGCATCCTTATTCCTATATAATAACATGGCACGAGCCTCAAACACTGAGACCAAGCAAGGTTATTGAAGAGAGCTGGGTTTCCCAACAAAGCCACTTCTATAACTAATTAGTTCATTGTTTTAGTAATGTATGACTAGATCAGTACATTTATTAGACATAGCCTTCATGACACAATTGCTTGTACCCATCTCAATGCTACTGCTGTGCTAGAAGTCAAATTGCAACAAGATTTGAGAATGGGAAAAATACATTTAAAAAACTAACAGTATGTACCCAGACTTAGTGGAATATGCCTGTAAGCCAAATACTCTGGAGGCTGAAGAAAGGAAGATGATGAGTTTAAGGCCAGCCTGGGTTACTCACTATGACCCTATTTCAAGCAAACAAAAAGGCAATAAAAATATTTTTTAATCATAAAAATGAAATATTTAAGGAGCAAACTCCAGATAATGAAATAAAAGAAATGTAGTGAACCCTAGATATTTGCCATGTGCGGAAACAAGAGTGGATAGTTGAGTGTCAGAGTCTGCAACCAGCATGCTTTATCAGATGAGGGGGGGCTGACGTTGCTTCTCAAGGGATTTCCTGTACAAATGAGCATTACTTCTGATACTTGTAATATCTGCAGCAAGTGTCATTATTAGCCTTTATGCTGTAAAGAAAATAAATCCATATTAGCCATGTTAACTTATTTTCCATCACAATAAAAAGTGCATTCCCTTTTCAGGTACAGCCTTTTACATGCCATTTCAGGACTCAGACCCCTTCCATCTGTGGCTCCATCTTCCTCCAGGTCCTCAGAGCCTCTTCCCTCCAGAGACAGGAAAAAAGAGAGGACAGATGAATGGGTGTGAGGTTGTATAGGATATGCCCTCTGTAACTTACCTTTGTTCAGAATCAAGCATGTGACAGCTCCTAGCTTCTCCTGTTGTTTCAAGAGTAAAGAAATGACCCGGGGAAGAACCAGCCATTTTCATCAGAGGATCTCAAGAGTGTAAGACACATGGTTGAAGATTACACAGTTGAGAACAGGCAGCGCAATGACAACATCAATACTGAGCCTTGGCCTTGTGTGCCCAGAGATCATGCCCTCTTTCGGGTCTTCAGAATTCTCTCAATATAGTGACATTCCCAAGTATCCTGCCACAAGTGTTCATCCAGGTCTTGAACCTCAGAATGATCTGGTGGAAATCCTCATTTTAAATGTTTTTGAGGCTTCTCAGGTCTATCAATAGTTTATGCACAATACTTTCTTCCCAGGTTTTGACTTTGATTAACTTCTGCACTTTCCCATTCAATTTTAACACCAAGCCTGATACAGTTCACTGCTGTGCTCATGATGTATTATCATGTATTATTTGTTTTCTCAAGAATAAGACTTCAAAGACTTCTCTCTGCTTCTTGGAGACTCTGTGCTTCTTAGAGAGTCTCCCAGCCAGTGAGATCTGCTGCCACCAGGTGGAGGGTTATGCTTGGTTTAGTTTCATGGTGTGAGAACAGAATGTCTTTTCTTGGAGATGCAGTTAGGGTGGTAAAGTGCCGTCCTTACAAGCACGCAGACCCAAGTTCAATCCCCATGACCCATGTTAAAACAAAAGTAGTCTATGTGATGCTATGTACTGGTAATTTCAGTACTAAGAGACAGAAATAGGTGAACTGATAGACTCCTGAGCCTCCAGAGCTAGTCAACCTAGCCTACTTGTGAGTTCTAGGCCACTAGAGACTCTTTCTCCTAAGAAAACGTGAGCAACACCTGAGGAACAACATTCAAAGATGCCTTCTCTTCTCACACACGCGTGTGCATGTGCACACACAGAGAAATGAATAAGTATGTATCAGAGCCACATGACAGAAATGTCCAGTAGAGGTGCTATTTAAAGGTTTCAGGGGCCTTCTTGAAGGAGGCAATGTTTTGGCTAAATCTTTATATATGTAATTTTTAAGTTTAAATTTAAATTAGAAACAAGATTGCTTCACATGTCAATTCCAGGTCCCTCTCTGTTTCCCTCCCCTCCTCCCGTGCCCTCACACCAATGCCCCCAATATCCCCTCATTTCCCCAGGGAGGGTGAGGCCCTCCATGGGGGTTGTCCATGTCCTGTCATTTCATCCAGGGTAGGACCTAGACCCTCCCCCAAGAGTTCGGGGTGAGAGTGCATCTCCCATTGTTGGATGGGAGTCCAAAGTCCATTTGTATACCTGGGTTGGCTAAATCTTAAATGATGAGTGTGGGATAGCTGCAAGAGCTTGGGAGAGGAGCAATAATCAACTCCAATTAACCTTTTAGGCACTTATAATTTAGTTTCAAGATGTCAAGGTCCCTCTGACCTCAAACAGTGGGTGCTCTCATTACACTACCGAGACAATCTCACCTGGATCTTGTGTGTTGTAGACTTTCAACCTCTAATAATATCTTCTTTCTCTGGGTGGGGGGAGTCAGTTTATTCCATCTGCTTAAAAAATTGACCTTTGGAGGTCCCAACAGGTCCTATTAAGTATCTCTGAGATTCTGAAACTACCATACAAGCAACAGCATCAAACTGAAGTGTTCCAGAAGCTCATATACACGAAGCAAGGTTCATTCATTGACATATGGCATAACAAATATCCAGACTAGTCGGCAGTTTTCAGAAAAAAAGACAGGTATATTTTCCCATTCAAAGGGTCAGTCCTTCCATCTGGTATGACAAATGCTATTCCTGGCTGCTGTGTCTGCCTGAGATCTTTTGCCAAAACCTTTTCCATGAGTCCATAGTGATGATCATCTAAGCTGCACCCAATAGAGTCAATCATTCACTCACTCCAGGCATGAGACATCGATTTGACTTGCTCATAAAATTTAATATTCTATAATTCACTGAGAATCTAATTTATTGGCCATCTGGTTTTGGAAGAAAGACCTATGGAAGAATTCAGGGGCGTGTGGGATTGATGTCTTCCTGACTTCAGCTGGGGTCTTTTCATTCACATTCAAAGGTAATGATCTGCCTGGACTATTGCTCTCTGCTTCAGAGACAATGTGTTCTCACCACCTGGTTAGCTTTGTTACCTGTCTACAGATTTTTTCATTTTCTTCCCTCTAGTAATAATGACAAACCACATTAAAAAGCTTCCTCCTCCATAGGTGAGGACTTTGAAAGTATACACCCATCAAGTCTGAAGCTAATTAACGTTCTTAAATCACCAATTTATCCTTTAGTAACCTGGAAGTTTCCATCCCCAAATGCCTTTACTTACTATCTTAGTCTGGGTTTCTATTGCTATGAAGAGACACCATCACCACAGCAACTCTTATAAGGGAAACATTTAATTGGGGTGGCTCACTTACAGTTTCAGAGGTTCAGTCCATTATCATCAAGGAGGGAGTATGGTGGTATGCAGGCAGACATGATGCTGTCTACATCTTAATCAGAAGGTAACAGGAAGTGGACTGTGACACCGGGAAATATCTTGAGTATAGGAAAGCTCAAAGCCCACACTCACAATAACAGGCTTCCTCCAACAAGGTCATACTTATTCCGACAAAGCCCCATCTGCTAGTAGTATCACTCCCTATGAGCTTATGGGAGCCAATTATATTCAAACTGCCACACTCACCTATCTCAATTTGTTTTCATGCCGACCTGAGAACATCCCTCTGAACTAGGAAAGCAAGGTCCTGCTATCCCAATTGTACAAATGAAATAGTAAAGTTACAAAGGTGACATGCCCCAGACCTAGGATCCCTTCTTGGATCTTCAGTGGGCATTCTTTCCAAATATTTAACAACCCCCATTCCTGTTTTAAAACAAAAATAGCCAAAGCCCCTCACACTAACAATTGAGCTTCTCCACCTTGCTCCCCAACTCTTACTGAACCAAATGTGTTGCCTGACTCACAGAAAACCAGACACTGAAATAACTGGTTTTTGTAAGAGAAAGATTTCCTTCATGAGGCAGCCAACTGAGTGGAGATGAGAGAACTAGCTTTCTTAAGAACAGTTTAGGAGACTTTTTGAGTTAAAGAAGCAGAGTGCTCCAAAGTATAGAGAGAGTTCATAGGAGATCCAAGGAAAAGGGTCAAGATTAGTGGTGCACACATGCTTAATCACATCCCATGGTACTTCAAAAGACGGGGAAACTTACCTATTGGTACAGGAGACCACTTCCTGAATGTAACACCAGTAGCACAGATGCTGATGTCAGCAATTAATACATGGGACCTCCTGAAATTGAGAAGTTTCTGTAAGGCAAAGGACATAGTCAAAAAGACAAAAAGTCAGCCCACAGAATGGGAAAAGATATTTACTAACCCCACATCTGACAGAGGGCTGATCTGACTGATCTCCAAAATTTACAAAGAACTCAAGAAGCAAGTCCCCAAAACACCAAAGGATCCAATTAAAAAGTGAGGTACAGAACTAAATAGAGAATTCTCAATAGAGGGGTCTAAAATGGCTGAGAGACACTTAAGAAAGTGCTCAACATCTCTAGCCATCAGAGAAATACAAATCAAAACAACTCTGAGATACCATCTTACTCCTGTCAGAATGACTAAAATAAAAAACTCCAATGACAGTTTGTGCTGGAGAGGATGTGGAGAAAGGGGAACACTCCTCCACTGCTGGTGGGAGTGCCAACTTGTACAGCCACTTTGGAAATCAGTATGGAGATTCCTCAGAAAAATGGGATTCACCTTACCACAAAGGAAGCAAACTCAACCCAGAGGAGCAGACACCAAGAAATAATTAAACTGAGGCCTGAAATCAATGAAGCAGAAACTAGGAAAATGATAAAATGTCACAAAGAGTTGGTTCTTTGAGAAAATCAACAAGATAGACAAACCTTTATCCAAACATACGAAACAGTAGAGTATGAACATGCAAATTAACAAAATCAGAAATGAAAAGGGAGACATAACAATGGACAG